CTAAGCTAAGTATTTAATTACTAATTTCCTTCTAAACCTTTCTGTTCCTTACACAACGTCTTGTACCTACTATAATACCTCACGTAGTAATTGAACTAGACCTCTGTGAAGCTCTATAACCTTACTCGTGCACAATCGTGACAAAGACATAGAACACTAGATAAACTTCTCCTAGATTAAGTAGGTCTACTTTATACACCTCTACGCTAATCTAGCCTATAACTTTTCTTAGTCTTAAGAACTTCTAGTCTAACTTTTTTTTTAGCCTTATTAATTTTATGTGTTTATTAGAGACTAATACCTTATCTTTTACTTATAGCTATATATGCTTCTATTATTTGTCTACATACTTTTTTTAATATATATTTGCAGCAATAATTTTCTAGCAGTATTTTAACTATAGAGTAAGTGCTTTTACAGCAACTCTGTTTACTATGTGCAATTCCCCCTAACCTAGGGGTTCTCTAGGCTAATCTGGCCCTCTTAGGTTTGCTCTGTAGTATGCTTAGAAAGGAGTAACTCCTGTAGTCACATGTACGCTATTGTTATACATAAACTCTACTATTAGTAACTACATTACTTAATTATCTTGTTCTAGGCAATAGTAACATCTAAGGTACTGTTCTAGAGTTTAGTTTTATCTTTTAGTCTGCCTATTAGTTTTAGAATAGTAGGCTAACAAGAGAATCCTTTATGTGCTAAAATAGTAATAAAAACTATTTTAGTACTTTAAGTTTATTATTAGCCTTTAATTAAAGATAATGTTCTTTAAAACTTTATAAAAGTAAATAACTTTTTTTAACTAAACCTTTACTAGGTCTAAAGCCTCCTAATTAGCTCTAGCTAGCACATAGTAGGCTATCTTAGTAAGACAGTTTACTATTATAAGGATTGCATTATATACTAACTCTAAGTATTTATAAGGGGGCAGCTGTGTTATAAAATCTATTGTAACATCCTACTAGAGCCTATTAGGCGGTAGCAAAGGGTGAAGGAGCCTATATAGGCAGTGTTGTAGAGCTACTAATTATCTGCACTTTAGGTAGTTATTATAGTACACCTTTACATCCTTTCTAAGCCCTTTCTAATTATATTAACATATAATCTTTTTAAGTGTCTTTTTTACACTAAAGTGGCCTGCTAATAGGCTGTTGTAGCACTCTTAGAACACTTTTGCCTTCTCTTAGTCTATTATTAGGGTCTTTCTTTCTATATTAGCTATAGCATGTTATTTTAGCCTATTTTAGGGATAAGTGTCTTTATTAAAGTTCTTTTTATTCTTTATTTTACTCTTAGTGTTTAATAAGTCTGTTTTATTATAGTCTTCTCTAATACTTAACATAAGGTTCTTATTATTATCCTTTTCTAGTTTTTTGCTTATAGCTCTTTTAGAATCTAGCTATTTTAGCCTTTGTTTTTTTTTAAAGTAGTTCTTAGCTAAGCCTAAAAAATCTTAAGAATATGTAATAGCTATAACTATTAATTTCTTATTATAATTTTATTAATTTAAGAGGTTGCGCATGTTTATTACATACGCTGCATTCCTCTTCTAAAAAGGCTATTATAACTCCTTAATGTAGTTAGGTCTTCTTAAGAGTCTATCTACTAGGTTTAGCTTCTCTAGATAGTGCATAATAACAAAATTATATTCTATTATCTTTTTATAAGCTTAGACCTGCTAGTAGTTTAAAGTTTTAGTTTTTATAAACTAGCAAAGATTATTATAGTCTATAAAAAGTTTAAATAGTAGACTTTAAAGGTAATGTTGCTAATGTGCTAAACTTTTGTTAATAGCAAGCAACTTCTTATTATAAGTATTATAATTATACTTAGCCTTACTTATCTTTTTTTAAAAAGAAGCTAATTAGCCTTTATTAAGCCCCTTTAGTCTTATTTAAGACTAATTAGCTTAAAAAGCTATAAATTACGCCCTCTAAGGTGTTAACCTCTACTTTAGTTTTTCTATTAGCATTAAAATAAGCTAATATAAGAACTTTAAAGAATAAGTTTTAAAGCTTTTAAAAGGCTACTTTGCTTTTAGAACTAATATTAAGCTTTTAACTTTCTTCCTGCTTTTATTTTTAACTACCCTTTACTGCATTTAGGCCCTTTTAGGTTAGCTTAGTAAGAGGCAGGGTAATTAAAAAAAAGTTAGTAATAAACTGCCTATAGTAGTTTATAAACCTTATAAAAACACAAATATTCTAAACAGTCTTTAGCATTAGCTACTTCTAGATTATCTTAATTTTTAAAGAGTTAACTTTAACTCCTTCTAGGTAAACTATGTACCCTAGGTACTTAGTCTTTTATGTGTAAAATTTGCACTTACTAAGTTTTAAAAAAAGCTTTACTTTACATAATTTCTATAGCACTTTTTTAACATAAATAACTTATTTCTCTTTTATGTTAGAATAGACTAGAATATTATTAAGGTACATAATACATGTTACATTAACTAACCCTGCTAGGGCCTAATTAATATAAGCCTAAAAAGCTGCAGGAGTATTAGTAAGACTAAAAGGCATAACTTAGTACTTAAAATAACTATATTAAGTCTAGAATGCTGTCTTCTACTTATCTTCTTTACAAATATGTAATATATAGTATGCATTATAGATATTTAGCTTTATATACTACTTTACCTTTTTAAGTCTTTTAAGAGATTCTAAGATAAGTAGCAGTAAGTAATAATTTTTTATTATAATTTAGTTTAGGCCTTTATAATTTACATAAAGCTTTAACCCTTTATCTTTCTTTTTTATAAATAGGATTAGAGCTTCTGTAAAAGACTTAGACCTCTAAATTTACTTTTTTTACAGATAATTATTAATATATTTATAAAGATACTATAACTTATACTCTAATAAGTTATATAGTAGTTAGTAAGAAGGCTTTGTCCTTTCCTTTAGCTTAATAGCTAGATCCTGTAGGCTATATAGTAGTACTTCTAACATCTTATTAGACTTAACTATGTTTGCATATTCTTTGTACTCTAGTCTTAACTTAAGCTTTATAGGTCCTAAAAAATCTTTAGTGTTATTAGACAGCACACTATAGATGTAGACATCTGTATTAGGACTTTATATAGTTTACTTAAACTCTGCTGTGTCTTCTAAGGCCACCTTAGTGTACTTTAGCACACTATAGTCTTTTACGCCCCTAAATAACATATGTCTTATATAAAAGTTTAGCTTTAGATTAAACTAATTAATTTAAAGTAAACTTAAATATATTAAGAGTCCCTTTAGGTCTGTTACTATAAACAGCACTTTATAAGTTTAAACTTTTTCTTAAGAGTCTATAATTTTTATGTTTATAACTATAAAGCTATAGACAGCAAAGTCTAATCTATTAGGTGCCTTTAGAAAGACACTTAGCAGGGGCTTAATCTTAAGATCCTGCTTCTTAGCTATTATAGTAAATAAATGTTTAATTAAGCTTTTTTATTTACTACAGCTTAAAAGTCTTCTAATAACCTTATGCTTACTATTACTAATAATAAAGTTAACTTTTTTAGGTATAATAAGTTTTAAAGGTTTTTAAGCTCCTTTTTATTACTTACTAGGGTAATATAGGCTAGAAAAAAGAAGCTTAGTTTTTCTAGCTTTACTTTTTTCTTTTTTACTTATTTTTATTAGACTTGTTTTTATCTTTATCCTTTATAAGACAATCTAGGGAAATATAACTTAGCTACTTATAATTCTAGTAAGTAACTTTTATTTTATTAAATTTCTACTTTTTTTAGCTTTTTTTTAGCTTAAAGGCTTTTTTTATTTTTTTTTAAGCTTCTTTAGGTCCTTATTAGCTAGAGGTAAGGTAGAACGCTTTTATGTTCTTTTTTTTTTAACTTTAGCTCTTTTCTTTTTTGCAGGCAGCAGTAGGATATGTTGCTCTACTCTTTTACCTAAGCTAGCGTCTCTTGCTTACTTTATAAGATATATGTTAGATTACACTTAATCTTATTAAATAGTGTGCTACTAAAGTCTGCTGTTATTTTATCTAGGCTCTTCTTGTTAACTTTAGTCTATAATAGCCTAAGGTAGGCTAGAAGTTTAGTTAAGAACTAATTAAGTTATTATTTATAGTTCTTTATAGCATTATAAGCTACTCTTTTTTATTCTGCTAGAGTACTTAATGCATTAAGCATTTTATTTTTAAGATCTTGCTATGTTAGTAACTATAATAAGTTAATAAGCTTTAAATAAGTGTAGTATGTCTCTTATAGTAATTATAGTGTTTTATTAATATATTATAGGCTAAAAGAGATCTTCTATAATTTTTAAGCAAAGCTTAATAAACTTTTTTAATAATAGTCCTTATTATCCCTACACTACTAGTTATAGTCTGCCCTATTCTTCTTTTTATATTAGTGCAGCAGTTTAGGACGTGGTAGGTTTACTTAGTTTTAGGTAAGTTTTAGTATAATAACATTTAATACTTTAGTTAGCAACTTATTAAGCGCGTTTATATTACCTGCTTTAAATTAATAATAGATTTTTATTATCCTAGCTAGTTCTTACACTTCCTGCTGCTCTTACAGCTAGGCGCAGGCTTCTGTTAAAGCCTAATTCGCGGGGGTAGACTGTGCGTTGCTTAGTCCTGCACTAGCCCTTCTAACCTCTTCTAGGCCCTAAACGCCTTCTAGATAGCTTAATAAGCCTAATTTATAAAGATTTTTATTATCCTTTTTACTTATCTTTTACTCTATTCCTCCCTGCGTTAGTGTTAACCCTAGTTAAGTATTTCTAAAAGTAGTAGTCTTAGCTAGCTTCTTAGGTAATTTTTAAGCGCTAGTTGCATTTAATTCTCTTCTAGTGTTTTGCTTTAACACTATTACATAGGAATGTTGCCCTTAAGCAGTATACTAGCTTATAGAGTAATTTAAATGTAAAGATAAAATAGTAAGTAGCACAGATAGCACTAAGAGCAAGCTTTTAAAGAAAGATAGAAGTGTATTATAAGAGAGACAAATTGCTGCTAAGCTTTACTTGTTAGAATTTATGCTTATATACAAAGCACAGGTCATACGACCTCCAAACAGGTCAGGTGAGGCCATACTGGCCCGTTCTGGGACATCCGGCCTTACAGCAGTGTTTACTAGTATTTAGTATATCTTATGCTATTATGCTGTTATAAGCTTAAAACAACTATTATAATATTTATTTAAAAGTAAAAAGGCACTAATAATAACTTTACTACACTTAGCATTTCTACTCTTACTAAAGTAATAACTAAAAATAAGTAAAAAAAAGTAAACTACTTTTATAAGTTTTTTAAAGTTTTTTACTTTATAACTAAAAAAATTAAAGTTAATAGTAAGTATAAGTTTTTTTAAATAATAATTATTAATTTTTAGCACTTTCATAATAAACTTTATAAAGTGTAGAAAAAAGTAAAGCATAAAAATAAAAGCTTTTACTTTAAAAATAGTATATTATATAGTATTAAAAAGTTAATGTTATACTAGAGTAAGTTTATTTTAAAACTTTTTATATTTTATTACTATGTTATAACTATACTTAACTTTTAACTTTATTTTATTTAGTTTAAAAATTATTAAAGAAAGCACTTATTATAGTATAAAAAAGCTAAAGTTTTAATAAAAGCTATTTTTTAGCAGTATGTTAATGTAAAGGCTAAGGCTAAAGTTAACAAAAATAACTTCTTTTAGCTACCCTAGTGTTGTAAGTTACCTAGTAGTAACTATTATAATAATAAATTTAAAAATACTTTTTTTATAAACATCTCTCTTCTTACTAGTAATTACTTATATAAAAAGTAGTAAAAAACCTTAAAGTTATAGTAGTATTATAACTCTTATTAAAAGAATTTTACTATAGCTAAAAACAACAGCCTCTTATTTATAAATTTTTTTATATAGTAAATAAAAGTAAGATGTTTTTTCTACTTTACACTTTTTAAAATTACTTTTAATTTCTTTTTTATTCTATGTATATCTTATAACTGTAAGAGAGCTTTCTTTAGTAAAAAAAAGACTTACTACTTTAATAAAAACTACTTTTTTAAAAAGATAATTAAGGCTTTTTAATTATAAAAAAACTAGCTTTATTAAAGAGTAATTTACTCTAAGCTTTTAGCTCTTTTAGATTATATTTATTTTAGTGTTATGTTATAACTTCTGCTAAGTTGTTAAGCTATATAAGGATTCTTAATTATTATAGTTAAGACTTGTAAGTAGTCTTTATGTTAATTATATAGTAGAAACGTACTAAGATAGTCAGACGTAACGTCCCGGATTTGGTCGAGTCGAATCGTATTACGTACGGTTGGAAGCGCTGGCTTCGGCTTGGGCACTCATCGGCCGCCATTTCGGAAAGAAATTGGACCCTTTGAGTGTATCCAACAAAAGGAAAGTAAGGATGGACCATCAAGATGAATCATTTCGTAAGGGGGGAGCTCACAAGCTTTGTCTTATATTCAAGCATGCTGAGCGCGTAAGAAAGGGCGTTGAGTCTCAGCCTGATGAATGGGTGAGCCATCGTATCAGGAATGATGTTCCATGAGGCAAAACTTCGCAACGCTCCCCCGTGTCGTCCAGATGGTCATGAAGTGAAGTGGGTTGTCTGGGTTACAAAAGTTGAGATACTTGGCCTCGATTGTCTTCTCAAAAAGATCCGTCTCCCCACCTTCCGTATCAGTGCAGCGCTGTAAATTTCCGTCAGTGGGCTTCAGGGATGGACAGTAATAGTCAAGGTGGAACATGGTGTGACGAAGGAGGTCCCCAAGCTCACTACGCACAATGGTGAAAAGCGCGTCAGTCGACTTCCCTTGCAATTGTGGCAGCTCTTGCACATCTTGTCGGAGGTCTGAATCATTGACCGTCTTGTTTGATAATCTAGGGTACTTTAGTATTCTTTAGCAAACAAGCGTAAGCCTCTCAAAGACGCATCCATCTAAGTACTTCTTCAGATCACACAGAATTTAGGCCTATGCCTTTTGTGAAAAGACTAGCGTCTGTACAGGGTAGTAGACGCATTAGCTTGACCACCCATTGCGTCATTTACTTATCCCCTTCCTTGCTGCGAGCCACAGAAACTTAACCCCATAGTCTGGGTCACTCTCCTCTAACTGCCCATCCCCCGCCTCCAGCACCTCCGCTTCGATCAGCTCAAACCCAACATCTCTTACCATCGCCTTGCTATTTTCGACATCATAACTACTCCAAAACATTCCGTGGCCCAAAAACTCCCCATGGATCTCCTCCTCATCTACGGTTGCGAGGTTGCAAACAAACATGCCCCCGGGCTTGAGCCACGAACAGATGTTGGAGAGCATGCCTTTCTGTTCCGCTCGCGGCAGGTGGAAGATAGTGTAGAAGCTGATCACGCTGTCGAAGCTCTGGGGCTCGAAGGAAAGAGCTGCCATGTCGCCTTGTATGAGCGTCGCCTCCGGACACCGGACTCTTGCCATTTCGAGTTGTTTAGTCGAGATGTCGTTCGCCACCACTTGAGCGCCTCGGTCTAAGAGCATGCGCGTAATGGGAATGCCCGAACCGCAGCCGAGTTCAAGAATGTGTGGTGATGCCGGCGCATTCTCTAGGGCCTTGTTGGTATACCTCTCGCGAGGGGATCGCTGGTTTTCGACCCAGCAGAGGTACCATTCTGCAACGTGGTCGTATGCTTGCTCGACAATTTTTTTAGGAGTGTCGGACATGGCGGTGTCTGGTATAATGCAAACAAGATCAGAACAAAACAACACGTTTCGAAGACCAAAGATGGACTAGTACGACTTGCTCAGGACCCGTGCCTCGAGCTCTTTGTGGTTTAACGGCTCAGTCAAATGTTTCAGGTTTCAGAACCAGAACAGAGCTTTCGAAAGCTAGGTTAGTCACCTCGGATTGGTCTGCTGCTTGATTGATTGGGTAGAGCAGTAGATTGCACAATGTGGAGGGTCGCGGGAAATCGTTGCCAAGACTATCGCTGTTGCCTTGCATGGTAACATGTCTGACCAGTCATCCGCCAACACTAGTCATCCACCAACACCTGTCATCCACCAACACTAGTCATCCGCCAACACCAGTCATCCGCCAGCCTCAAAACTCACCGAAAGTGGCAAGAATTGTCCCTTAATGTCTTAACAACGCCTTATTTATTAAGTGTAAAAATTGATCCTAAGTTTTAAATATCTATTTTAAGATTCTTGTTAAAGATTCTTGCTAAAGATTCTACACTACTAAACCTAGCTGTTATTAAGATATTAATTTTCTAGCTTTTAAACTTAGCTAAACTACTATTTTTTAAGATTAGGCTAATAAATAGCGTTTAAAGTTAAATTTAAGTTGTAACAGTGTAGACAAGCTAATAGATTTAAATGCAGTGTGAATCTACTTAGATGTAGCAAGGTAGACACAGTCAACCACGTGGCCTTCTCTTGTTTATACAGGTTTAGGCTAGACTAGAGACAACCGCTAGTGCTAGTGCTAGCCCTAGCATTACCTATATATATATTATACTATGCGAGGATACTTAGCTTAAGTATTCTTGTGCGTACCTTTTAGTATAGTAGGGAAAGTTATATAGTATTAGCTTAGCAGGCAGGGTGTCTACTTTATTACATAATACTTAAGCTACCTAAAGGTTAAGAGTTTAAGTTCTAGTAATTGCTCTAGCTTAGATTATAGCAGAGGCTATAATTAGAGTAGAGTAAATATATATCCTTAGCTTTATGTCTTAGAGACTAAGACAATAAAGAGAGGGGGTAGTGTAACAAGGTAGGCACAGTTAACCACGTGGTCTTCTCTTGCTTATAGAGGTTTAGGCTAGACTAGAGACAACCGCTAGTGCTAGTGCTAGCCCTAGCATTATCTATATATATATTATACTATGTAAGAATACTTAGCTTAAGTATTCTTGTGCGTACCTTTTAGTACAGTAGGGAAAGTTGTATAGTATTAGCTTAGCAGGCAGAGCGTCTACCTTATTACAGTACTAATTACTAAAAAGGTTTTACACTACTACACTACACTTAACAAATTACTTTAAAGAGTTTTAAAAAAATAGTATAAGCTTTAGTATATTTTAGCTAGAGTTATTAAATAGTTTTTATTTTATTTTACTAACATACTTTTTTATTATAACATAACATGGTCCACAAGCGAATGTTCAACACAAGCGAGTGTTCCGCCCCACCACCAAAACGCAGCCAACCTACTACCAACTGCGATGCATTAACAACTATACAATTAATTATTTTTAAAAGAGGCTAGAATTAACCTAGCTATTTAAGCTCTTAATAGAGACATGTCTTTAACTAAAAGGCGCGCTACAGCACTTTATAATGTTAATTAAATAGCTCTCTGCTAACAACACGCAGGGATAACTATGTAACGCAACTATACAGCTAACAACAAGAAGCTTATAAAGCTAGAAAAGAAGGTAATTATTAAGCATATACTTAATCTAGATTCCTAAGGATTTGCGCTTACTCTAGGTGCTGTATAAGAGATAGCTAACAAGCTTCTTACTAAGCGCAGCGCTCTACTAGCAGGTATTAACTAGCTATCTAACTTTGTTGCGCGTACGCTAGCAGTTAAAACTTACTTTAGCTAACTATATAATTACTAATAAGTAAAATGCAAAGATCTAGTAATTATAAGTAAGTAGTTTAAGCTTATAGAGGCTAGATAATTAAAGTACAGCATTATAAATTAAGACATGTATAATTTTAATAAGACAGGCTTTTAAATAGAAGTTATATTAAGCTAAATAGTTATTATAGGCATAGATAGATGTAATTAGCTAAAGGCTATACAGCTAGGTAACTGTAAATAGGTAACAGTTATTATAGGCATTAACATAGATAAGTAGGTAATTGTCCGTACGCAGCAGCAGCGTCGCGTCCTGGATACGAACGATCGCGCACGAGCAGGATCACGTATCTATGTCACATGATGCTCGTGCGCGAACCTCCGTGCGCGAACATCTAGATATCCCCCTTTTCCTCTGTACGGAGGAAAGACAAGAGCAATAGAACCAGAAACATGTTGCCCTCACCTTACCTACCTCATACGCTGTGCACACTGTACACCACTCTTACTCTTGCTACTTAAGTGCTCATACTATAAGCAGCTAGCTGTCAGAGCCTATTTAACACTAATTAGTGGTTAATTTAATTAACTGCAAATTAGCAAGAGTGACAACAGAGTACCTACGCTCTGCAAGGTACTTTGTTTTGTTACCTATCCCTTAGGAAGAGTGACAGCAGAGTACCCACGCCCTGCGAGGTACTTTGTTTAGTTACCTATCCCTTAGGATAGCAGATTGATCCTTTGCATTATACAGCAAGCTCTGCTACTGTACGAAGTAAAGAGGAGATAGTGCGAGACGCACACTAAAACCACCAAAGCTGCACGACCTAGCAGCTAGACAACAGCAGTACCCGCGCAATCCACTGCACAAGCAATCAACCTTACGCCCTGTAAGGCACTTTGTTTTGTTACCTATCCCTTAGGAAGAGTGACAACAAAGCACCCACACCTTGTGAGGTACTTTGTTTAGTTACCTATCCCTTAGGATAGCAGATTAATCCTTTGCATCGCACGGCAAGCTCTGCTACTGTACGAAGTAAAGAGGAGATAGTGCGAGGCGCACACCAAAGCCATTAAAGCTGCACGACCTAGCAGCTAGACAACAGCAGTACCCGCGCGATCCACTGGAAAAGCGATTGACTATACTATCACAATGGAATCCCACCAGCAACCGACAACTCTGCGCGATGACAGGAAGAACAAGGAACAATTCCTATTGTACAAACAACTTGCAAAGGACATAGGGATATCAGAGGCAACACTACAGAACAAGACCAGCCTAGAGTACTGGAATGACAAGATCAACATGTCAGAGGCTCTAACAAGCCTGCAGACTTAATTGTACGCAGGTTGCGCAATTGCTAATCTACGCACAACAACTTAGAAGGGCGCTACCCTTCTAAGTGCGTACATAGAGAATTTTAAAGGATGGACACCACAAGACTTCTTAGCACTTAGCCGCGCGTTTAAAAGGGAGCTTATACAAGTGCTAGAGGACAAGGGAATCACACCACAGCCAGGCACTAAAGGTACCCAAGCCTAGAAGCTGTACAATATGGCACAAGGGAAGGCAATTGCACTAGAAAGGCTTTGTACGCAACCCCCATCGCTGTATGAGGCTCCGCACAGAAGCAGACCAAACACAATGCTGCCATCAACACCAAACGTACCAGCATCACCTGCTCCTACACCTCAGCCAGCACTACACCGATCACCGTACAAACAATACATGCCACCCTACCCAACGCCTGCTCCACACCCTCAATCGTACACACCACCGCCTGCAGTAGTGTATGCACCACCGATACCACCTGCACAATCCATACCACATCACAGCCTGTACAAACTTCCACCCTAAAGGGAAACTGCTAAAGAAAAACTTCTAGCAGACAAGATTGTATAATTCTAAAAAGCATAGAAGAAGGATAATAACTACACAGGTTAACTATACAACATCCTTATAGACAAAACAAGGATCTTTATTAATCTATGTTAACAGCTAGATATCTAGGAAACTTAGTACGCAGACATCTTTCTAGATATCCTAGAAGGTCGGGCGAATATGTACTATATGCACAACATAGGCCCTAGACATAACTAGAAGCATTTGTACAACACCTTAAGCAGTCACTTTAACACTAATGTGAACTATAGCTAGTACTAAACAGACTAGACAACAATAACCTTTGTATAATGCTAACAAGAGAACCCTAACAAAAGTTTACATAAAGTCTTTAAAATAATAATTAACAAGCTTACGCTTACACAAAGGGCACTAGGAACAGAATTCTAAGGGGATGTTCTACTGCACACTGCTGTTGTACAAGCCTGTTAAGGACAACCGGAACTAGAACATGCTATGTTCACTATTAAGCCCTTATGCAAAGCCTTATTTAGCGACCTACAGGCATCACTCTAAGTTACTATAGACTAAAGGGCAAACCAATACCTCTAGGAACCGCCTGATGCATACTACACAGACCGCCAATACAACTCTGCACGACAAGAAGGAAGCCTCCCTCTGCGCAGAAAAGGACAACGTGGAAGATCTCTATCTAGGTTTAGGCCACAATCTAGAGACAACTGCACGCGGACAAAGAAGTGCTTTGTCTGCCACAAGAAAGGATGTTAGTCATTAAACCACCCTTGCAATGACTGTACGCAAGCAAAGAACTAGTACGTCGCCTTGTACAAAGATTTCTATGATAAGACCCTATTACATAAAGCTATCACCTTGTACATCTAAGACTTTAAAGGTTACCCTAAGGAAGAGGATAATTCGCACAATGCAGAGGAAATAGAATAGGAGGGTAAGGATGCTAAGAAAGCTGTTAACTACCTCACCTCCGCTGCCTATCTACACTGTGCAACAGGAGAGGACATCTACAGCATTAAACCTAAGAAATATGCTAAGCAGTTTATCCTTAATAACTAATACTATACAGTATACTAAGGCAAACTATAGGACACAGGCGCAGCAAAGATCTCTACTGTTAGCAAGTCCTAACTTAAGGCGTACGTACAAGAGAACCCACGTACAGAAATTAATTAGACACCTAGCTAAACAGATATTAGCTTTAGAGGCTAGACACTAAAGGGATTAATTAGTACTGTACAAATCTAGAACCTAATTAGTCTAGTCACATACCACATCCTGGAGACTCCAACACTATTCCTGCTATCGCTGGCAGATGCTAACTAACTTAGGGCATACTTTAACAACGTTCTAAATGTTATTGTACACAAAGACAAAACTACTGTCCCTGTTATACAAAAATAAGGACACCTTTTCTTTAATGTTAGTAAGGAAGAATCTATGTCTTTCTTTACTAA